AGACTGAAAACATATGGAGAGAGAGCATTTGCTGTGGCGGCACCGAGACTATGGAACTCGATCCCACTTGAACTAAGATCCAGTAGTTCGATTGACATTGACTACCTATTGTCTAAACACTAACAGCGTCGCAGACGTAAACGGGGAAGGGGTAGGGATCGGGAGGCAATAAACCGCGAAAAAGGAAGGGAACAGCACTCTCTTCCGATAAAGACGCCCGTTTCCAATAAGCATCCCAGTTTAATTTCTTAAACCCTTAAAATTCAAACAAGCAAAAAGGACGTTACGCGCGTACAAGTACGCAGTGCGGACCTATTTTTGTTATACAGCTGGCGTTTTTCCCGCTACAGCGGGCCCATTCATTGGCTAGTTCATGGTCACATGATATCTAACAACGAAAATGTTTCCCGCCAAATGCCATGAGCGGGCAGCATTGCGAAAACTATGACGTCAAACGGGAAACATGGGCAAACGGACTCGCAAGAAGTCGCAAGCCGCAAGTTGAACTTGCGTAGAGACTTGCGTTGGGTGGCCAAACGGACTCGCAAGATTCCTCGCTAGTTAGCCTACGTGTAGCCTTAGTAGGCTACTCGCTAGAACACGCAAATCGCAAAAGAAAAAGAAAAAAAGAAAAACGTTTCAAGACAGACATATCCTGTATTTCATCGGCTAATAATAGGTTAATTAATGGCCAAACGGTGAAAAACTTGCGTCGACTTGAGTGTAAATTTGATCTTGACCAAAGTGAGCGCAAGTCATTGCAAGTCAACGCAAATGCACGCAAGGCCTGGCCAAACGAAGTCGCACGTAGACCCAAGTTTTCAACTGGCGTCTACTTGCGAGACCGTTTGGCCAGGGCTTTACCCGCGAAATGTTGACCGCTGTTGCACGTCATTTGTCAATAAAGTGATTGTTTGTTTTCCACCGGTTTGACCCATTTGTTTTGCTATACTTCGTCTCGGGAAACATTGAGATTCTCGGAAACAAAATTCACTGTTCCCCTCGGGATCAGTCATAAGGTGTTAATTTTTGCATGCACAAGTAAGCTCACATATTATCTACATTTGTAATCTCCTGTATGTATTTTATCCTTATACTCCCTCATGTTTATATTTTTAGCTAATACGTTATTTATTGTAGTAGGTCCACATTAGCCCTTTGATTGCCTTTACTCAAACCTACTTCACCAAGTAAAGTATGTATGTATGTGTATGCACCTCGAATTTCGCAACTGTCTAGAGGCCTTCAGAGCGCCTATCGCTCTAAAATCTTGTTCAGAGTAAACGTGCGATGACATCGTCCAATTCCAAATGGAAATACATGTGCGACAAATTAGCCGCCGTCGTTCGCGTTCTCTATGCGACACAGAACATGGTCATTTTGCAGAGGACGGCTAAGGACTGTACAAAGATTTATGACGTGCACATGCAGAGCCAATGTTTTGCTCTTTGACCTTTGTTTGATGGAGTTCTCGTCGCTGTCGCTGAGTTTAGCTTAAGCTCCCTATTAATCAGTACCAGCATTAGCAGTTCATAAGTAATGGGAGTATTGTTCTGTAAGTAGCAGATATAAATAACAGCCAAAAAAAAAACAAGAACAACAACAACAACAGTTGGCCAATAGACCATATTCGTATTCTCGGTATTAGACTGGAACTAGCTTGCAACTGAGGCTAATTCGGGGAGTCTTTTCAAATGCAAATGACATTAACCTCTTTTTGATGATATTTCCCCGCATGAGCCTCCATTGCACGCTAGTTCCAGTCCAATACCGAGAATACTAATATCGCCTATTATGTCAGTTTAATAGTTTCATCACGCATCTTGACTGATTCTGATGGCTAGTAAGTGCCTTTGGGAGGCATATTTTAGCCCCTAAACATTTCAAAGTGGACCTCAAAACGCCCGTAGGGATGGGTCTGTTTCTGGCTTACTTTTCGGCGGGGATGCTGCGCTTTATAGCGGAGACAACGGTAGAAATGCGCGTTCCATACAGTGGTTTCTAAATACATACGGTTCTAATCCAACGCAACACATAGCGTGGGGTGATTTATGTACACAATGAACTATAAAAACAGTGTACGTAAATATAAAGAGTTCCTTAACATATTACTGACTAACTGAAATGCAATAGTCAGTCAACATGCTTCAAGTCATTGTTGCCCAGTATATATATTTGGAAGTGCACAACCTAGTTCAGTATCTTTTTATTTTCCGCACGGAAAGTTGCATTTTCCTCACGGTACAACTGGGTACAATTCTACGGTCGGACAGCTTTTCTCTGGACTCGTTCACGTCAATCTGTCTGGACCTCAGGATTGTGTTAGTGGGGCCGTACTAGTTTATGATAAAAATCCTACGGAAGCGGTTTCAAGTCACCTTTGAAAAATTATCAAAAATTATGGCGGCTCTTAACTCCTTTTAATATCATTTTTGTCTATTTTTTTTATTTTGATCCTTAATGTTGAAGCCATTTTAAATTGTTATAACTGAGCTATCTATTATTCCCTTTCGACCTTTATCTATCTTATTAGAACTGGAAACTTCAAGTTGAAAGTTAATCAAATTAATCAAATATCATTCTTTCTTATTTTCAGAAAACTACAAAAGTGGTACAAGCAAGAGTTGCCGTTTATAGATCTAGATTTAGTCACGTTGATAATTTCGTACAGTAAGAGTTGTAAATCATAACTATGTAGCTGAGGTTTCTGAATAGCACTCAATTTGAGACGTACTGTATATAATAAGTTTCATTACTATTTAACAATAGTCTTTCTGAAGCCACAGATTTCGAGGTTACAAAAAATGAACGCCATCAAACCCAGAAAGAAAAACATATTTAAACCACTGAACGTGCACAAAGTAAACATATTTTACTCATAAGACTGCTGCTGTTGGATATTTGTATCTCTAGTAGTCTGGTTGTCTGCCTTGAAGGTTTGGGAGAGCTTATTGTCGGAAGAATTTTGTCTTTCAAAATTGTTCCATGACGCTAAAGTTACACAATCCAAGTGCACCCTGGTGATGTTTGTGGTCAGGAATTCAGAGGTGTATCATAACTAACATATCGTCTTCCGAGTGAATGTACTACCACTGACCCTCGCTAATCACAGCACGAATGTGCTTCTCGGGAAAAGCACAAAGTGGCAGTGAGCGACGAGAGTTTGTGGTGTTGGGACTATGCATAAGGACTCAAAAATGTATGTTTTCTGTCCGAGTCCTCCAAGTCAATTAACATGTTAGTAGTTTAGTGAGTAGACACAGTACAAATAAAGCCTGTTGTTGTTGTAACATTACGCGGAACACTACATAAAAGTAACAGTAAAATGAGTAAATGTGGCACAATATTTCTTCTTTGTTGGGACTCCTATTAAATACTAGCTTACGTTACCTGTTTCAATCACTATATCTCGTGAGTAACCAATGTAAATTAACGAAAGAAAACGAAAGAAAGAAAAAATGCAATAAGAAGAAATTTAAGAATTATCTCTGAAAATCCAAAATTTGGATGAGCCTACATACCAAAACATGGTTGCTACGGTAACGTCAATGACTATCGAAGAACAGTTGTGACATCAGAATGTTGTAGACGAATGAACGTCCTGCAACTGAAAGTTTCTGAAAGTTCTAGAATCCCTAAGTTAAAAAATCATGATATGATATCTAGTCCTTGAATTCCTCGATGGCCTTTAGAATAGTTCCTTTGACCAAATTAGCATACGTCTGGGCTGTGGCATCACTCACAACGTTGCTGTAATAAACGACAGTCCAAAACAATTTGCCATTGAATGTTCCTATGTTATGGTTAAAGACGGATCCACGCTGGTGCACTGCAGAACAGCCGAACACGGCACGGAGGATGACTTCATCATCAGGAGATCCATCTAGATAGTTGGCATAACCAAGGTTACTGAAGACTAGCAGCTGCTCATTGCGCCCACCGGATCGATCAACCTTGGGAGCTCCATTCGTCATTCGAGTCATCATTAGCAAAATAGCTTTCATTTTCGTCAACAATTGAAAGTGTTCATTTTTGTTTAACCTTGCGTGAAGGTCACTCGAAGCTTGTCTGGCCATATTCCAGAACTTGTTAGCACCAGGCGACGACACAATCAGGTTTTTACATTGCAGTAATGAAAAATATGCTCCGGCATAGTGGTCGGGTACTTTGGACTTCAGGAAGGGTCTGATATTGACTGTGACAGTGGATTCTACTTCGAACTCGTCCGCCTCCAGCATGGTAACCATGGCAACACCAGCTGCTGTCTGGACAGCCCCCTGAACAGTGGCATTGTGCTCTTTGCACATCTTCAGCAAACTTGATGTCTGCACCTTTGTAAACTCTACGGGAATCATCTTTGTTCTTGGTTCAATGTGCGGATTTCGTTGGATTTCCACATCTGAAACGACAAAGTAACAATATTGTGATCGTGTATCTTGCTGAAAGCCATTTCATCATGGGGACTGTGTAAAGCTTCCTGAATGAAAATCCACCAAGACTCTAAGTGGCCTTAAGTTGGTTATGCCTAGCTCTACCAAAAGGACACAACACACATTGGCTTGGAGTCTGCCTAGCGTGACTGACGACTTTCATTGTCTCACTTCTTATGGCGCTAGTATCTGTACAATAACAACGCGCCCACGTGAAGAAGAATATTGGTGGGTTTGACAGGCTAAAAGCGATACCCTACGAGCTATAATCTACGTCAGCCATATATTGAGTCCTGAAGTCTGTAACGCCAAATGGAGATGGACACCAACCGATAAAGCCANTGCTACAACTCCGCAACCTATAGAATAGGCCATCATGTCGCTACGGATCCCTGAAACGACAAAGTAACAATATTGTGATCGTGTATCTTGCTGAAAGCCATTTCATCATGGGGACTGTGTTAAGCCTCCTGAATGAAAATCCACCAAGACTCTAAGTGGCCTTAAGTTGGTTATGCCTAGTTCTACCAAAAGGACACAACACACATTGGCTTGGAGTCTGCCTAGCGTGACTGACGACTTTCATTCTCACTTCTTATGGCGCTAGTATCTGTACAACAACAACGCGACCACGTGAAGAAGAATATTGGTGGGTTTGACAGGCTAAAAGCGATATCCTACGAGCTATAATCTAGGTCAGCCATATATTGAGTCCTGAAGTCTGTAACGCCAAATGGAGATGGACACCAACCGATAAAACCACATCAAAATTATCCTCTAAACCTCTTCAAAGTGAGGTCTCTTTATTACATTTCGGTACCAGGGAGGCTCCCATTCTTTTTTCCATTTTTTTTCTTTTTCTTTCTTTCTTTCTTTAGGTCCATTGTAAAATGAAGTGTGAAGTTGCTTCGTTGGTCGGGTGTCTGGAAAACCCGAATAGCGAATAGCGAATAGC